CCATGTTGGCCTAACCAAATTGGAATTGTCCCATTGAACAAGTTATGCTCCAATCTCAAGTAATACAGGTTTTCAAGATTCAATAAAGTAGTGGGTATTTGGCCATGGAATTGATTATCCTTAAGAATAAGATAAGAGAGGCCACTTAGATTGAACAACCAATTGGGTAACTCAGACCGGAAATCATTGCCAGAAAGATCAAGATATTCTAGTGAAGTGAAATTGGCATAATCAAGAGATGGGCTAACACTTGCAAGTAAACAACCTCTCAAATGTAACTCAGAAAGTGAAGGAAGCATAGTCAATATTTGAAGCCATTGAGTTTGCTTATGAAGATCAATGAAATTCAAATTAAGATATTCTAATGATGATAGATGAAGAAGCCATCTAAAATCATCAATCACAAGGATCTCATTACTTGACAAATCAATATATTCAAGATTGGATGAATTTCCACTTCCACCAGAGGTGTTAACCACTAACATGTTTTCACAATCCAACAAGTGTATAGATTTGAAGTTATTGTTACTCAAATCCAAGTGCTTTAAAAATTCAAGTTCAAGTATAGATAAGTGGAATTCACCTGTTAGGCAATGGCTTTTATTCACCTTGATACCATAAATGGAATCATCGGTTGAATAAGGGAGGCTAAGATTTGTGACTCTGCCAGTGATGTCACATTCAACTCCTCTCCATTCACAACAATGTTCTTTAGTGGACCATGAAGACAACATGCCTACTGGATCAGTGAGTCCATGTTTAAAGCAAAGGAGTATTTCCATGTCCTTCTTGTCACAGGAAACTTTCATCTCGCATAGTTCTAAGTTGTATATGATTGCAAGTGGTACCAAAAGGGAAAGGAATGATCTTTGGGTGGAGAATTTCACCATGATATCTCTCTATAACCCAAAGTTTTTCAATGTATTGATTGTATTAGAGTTGGTTCACTACTCAACCTTCACTAACAATTTATATTTATAGGTGGCACTTGGGTCAAATCATCAAACAGCTCCAATATTACTTTTTATTGGTAAATAAATATTTTGCATGTTTTGTAAATCATGACATTACTAATGTATATACGAACACTGAAATTATAATTTTTACTATTCTCTTTTTAATATTTTCATCAATTGAAAATTTATGTTATTTACATTAAGTAATTTAACTTTATTCCTTATTAATAAAGGTATTATAAAATTTTATACAAAAATAAAAATGTATTTAAATAAATAGTTAAAAAGGTAGTGTTATTTCTCTTATCTGTTGAATTATTATTATGGAATTCTAAAGAACTTTATCGCTTTAGTTACGATGCACTATTTATTTTTTATGGTATAGTTACAAGTACTTAACATTATTATATTAAACGAAAAGAAAACGGTTAAGATGCTTCACTGTTTAAAAGAAAAACATAAAAAAAGAGAAAATAATAAACAATTTTTTTTTCTATTAATAATAAACAATTTTCAATTACGTAAAGTGAGTTGCACGATATTGTTTTATTGACGTAGTACAAAAATAAACAATTTAAAATAGCAAAGTAAAAAGATAGGATCAAATAGTAAAAAATAAAATAAAATTATTTTATCACGTTCAATTTTCTTTTCTTTTTACATGTTTTGTAAATTTTGTATGTGATAAATATTTTTATATTATTCATAATTTAAAATATTTTTTAATATTTTGTTAGAAAATAGAATGGTGTGAATATAAATCTAAATTAAACTCTTCATTGTAAAGATTTTATCGTCACAAAGAAAGATAAATTTAAATTGAATTTTTCATAGAAAAAATAAAAATAAATTCAAATTAAATTTTTTATTATCATAATAAAAAATAACAAATTTAAATTAAACTTATTTACTTAATTATTAAAAAATATTCTCTTTAAAACTTTATAAATAAGTGATGTTGTGTAATATAGAATTTCATAGTAAAATAGTTTATTATTTAATCTTTGTTATAAGAGATTCTTTATCAAATTTTTTTTGTGATTATTTAAGTATGTAATTAACTATTAATAAAGTTAAAATTCTATTAAGTGTATTAATTTTCAAATAAAAAATTATTTTACAAATATTTAATTTATAGCAACGATATTTTAACTAAATAATTTATTTTAATTGTCAACATATTTTATTTTATTTTATACTATTTAGTTTTATTTAAATTTAAAAATACTTATACAACATATTGTGACATTTTTCTTTAATTCAATAATTTGAGTACAAAATAAGGGAACACAACATGTTCCTGAAAAAGTAGTAACGAAGACGAGACAAGCTAAGTGCGTATATCATGCGATCATCTGTTGACATGATCTAAATGGAGTAGCAATTGTCGTTTGTCTTGTCATTTTATTAGTAAAGAATAATATCAAAAAAAATTATTAAGATAATATTTTCAAAAAAGGGTGTCGTTTAATATAATTAGAGTTTATTATTTGCTGTAATACTTAAACTTTTTAATGTAGAAAATTGATGGTCATCTAATTCCCAGTACTTAGCTAGAACCTTAAATAATAAACTATTAAATAAAGAAAATAAATGAAATTATGCAAATAATAATGAAGAAAATAAGAAAATTTGATCAGAGTTAGGGTAAAAAAATTTATGTGACCAAAAAATTCATCATATAAAAAATTCGTAATGTTAAGTGGATTAGGCTTAACTTATAAACTAAATTACCTTTAAAAAAATTGTTATAACTTATTAAAAATATTTATTCTCTATAACATATTTTTTACAATAAACTTATAAATAAATAAAATTACTTAAAATAGATAAAAAAATAATTAAATATTTAAAATAAATTATTGTTATTAAATAATATTAAATAAAATATAATAATTTATTATCAAATTAAGTTACTTATTTATCTAATTTTTGTTTGTATTATTGATAAATATTAAATTATAGTAATATTTTTTATTTATATAATTTTATAAATAATTTCTTAACATAAATAATTATAAAAATTTTCACATTTTAATATTTTTATATTATCATATTTTATTTGTTTATTTTTATAAAATTATTTTAAAAATATCACATCTTCAATAAATATTTTTAAAGTCATAATAGAGATTAAAAATTAACAATAAAAAATAAAATTAGTTAAATTTATTAAGTTATCTATTATCAAAATATTTAAAATAATTAATTTAAATAAAATTTAATGTGTTAAATAAATAAATACAATACTTTTATCATAAAAATTATAAACATATAATTATAAACACGTAATGCTTAATATTATAAAATTTATAAATATAAAAAAGTAACTTATAAACTTAACAAAAATTAATAAATATTACAAATTTAAATTTTGACTCATCTTAATTTAATAAAATTTATTTTTAAAATGAAATAATATGATTAGATAGAACGGATAAAATTTTTTAGTTTTTAAAATATATTTTTAATTAATTTAAAATAAAATAATTTAAAAAAATAATAAATGTGTTTTTTATTAAAAGTTAGTATAATATTTATTAATTATTTGTTAAAAATTTATTTATTTATTTTTATAAAATTATTTTAAGAACATTATGTTCAATAAATATTTTTAAAATAATAATAATATACAAAATTGATAATAAAAAAATGTTAGTTAAATTTGTTAAGGCAAATGCTATCAAAATACTCAAAATTATTTATTTAAATAAAATTTAATATATTAAAAAAATACAATATTCTCATCATAAAAATTATAGACATATAATACTTAATATTGCAAAATTTATTGATAACTTGTGAACTTAATAACAATTAATGAATGTTTACAAATTTAAATTTTGATTGATTTTAAATTGATAGAATTTTTTACTTTTAAAATATTTTTTTATATTTAAAATATAATTTTTGATCAATTTTAAATAAAAAAATTAATAAAAATAATAAACAAACATATATGTTTTTTGTTAAGAAAAATAATATAATATTTATTAATTATATTTTAAAAATAATGGACTAATCCACCTTTTATTTTAACTTACATATGTATATATATATATATATATATTATGGATTATGACTTAAAATTAAAGTAAACTCATTATATAGAGAGTTTAAAAAAATTAAAATTATATAATGAGTTAAGAAAAGTGAGCTTGAAGGCCTAAAGCTAAATTGACACTTATAGTTATCAATTTTAGAAAGAAAAGAGAAATTTATGAAGAACGAATGAAATAAAAGAATAAGAAGAATTTATTACCTGCAAGAACTAGTATACAAAAAGCTTTCTACATTATTTTTACATAGGTTAATAATTAATTAAAAAATACGGTAATATTTTTTAAAATAACAGAAATTTTTTAAAATCATTCAGCAAAATAACATATATTAAAAGTACTTTTAAATTTTCTACAAAAATGAAGTGAAAACACAAAAAATACCAGAAATACAAAAAAAAAAATTAGAATTTTAGAGAAAAATTTGCATAAATTAAAATTCTGTACTAAAAATTGTGTTACTTTAAAGTTTACAAAAAATTGTAGAACTTTTCTTATTGGTCACTAAATAATTGATATAAAAGAAAATTTTAAAATTTATTTAAAATAAAACATCTTAGAGATGTTCCTTAATAAATAATATAAATTAGAGATGATAAATATAAATTTTTATTTAATTTTCAAATTTATTTAAATATTGACTTTTTCTGTATCAAATTTTAATTAATATTTTAAATCAATGTTAAGAGTAATTTTTGCACCAGTGGAATATATTTCCATTCCTATATTAATGTGTGAATTTTTTTTAGTTCGAGTAATCAAGGTAAAAATAAAAAAGTAAAGCTTATGAAATTAATTTATGACTCTAGGTTTTTTCAGCTTCTTTTAATAAACTTTTTACATAAGTTATTAAAATAAGGTTTTTTCAATTTATATATACATTTCATAATTAAATTTATGGTATAAACTCCTTATACAATAATAACTTATCGAATAAGTACATAAAAGTTATCCTAATTCACCCTCAATTCTACCAAATCCTATTCTAGTGTTTCGATCTGAAAAAGCCGAGACCAATAAATTTCTTCCACTTCTTGAACACACTAGAGTTCTTAGTTGGTTTTCCGCTGGTTGTCGATGTTAGTGCTTTCTCTCCTACAAACCAATATATAGATTACCAATGAATCAGTATGATGTGAATTGAACCACCATGAGAACAATATCAAGTCATATCACACCTACTTTAATGCTCACACACCAAAATAGTTTTGTTTATTTCTGTTCTTATTATTGAATTTAAGTAATACATTTTTATTAAAACAATATTTATTAAATTAGAAAAAAAACTGAAATAAATACTTTTTTTAATAAAAATTTACTAGATATTTAAACTATATTCTAAAATTCAAGGTTAACCAAAATATATTAAAAATTCTGCATCTCAATCTTAACTAATGTTTTAAAATTGGACTTATAATTCAACCGACGAAAACACTAATTCACCGATGAATTGGTAATAATTAAATATATATTTTTAATAATATATAATACACTCAACTATCCAAAAATTAAAAAAAAAACTTAAGAAAATTTTAAATTAATATAACAAATTTATATTACATATTATACAAGATAAAAAAAAATCATATAGTAATTCATATATACATATCATGTAAGAGCCTTCATTATTTTAAAAATACTTTAAAATTATAAACGAAAAAACAAATTTCAAAATATTATTATTAATTGTTAGCTAATCCAAACTCGATTCTGAACAGTTTTACTCTACCAATATTCCAACCAACCAAAGCAACAAAACCACTTCAATTTTTAAACTAAACATTTCTTATAGTAATTATACAACTTTTAGTGTCACCTCAAAAATTGTGCTTAATACCACAGAGCAATGAATGGGACAAATTACTTCCAAAATTATATCAATTGGTTATGTTAATACCTGCAACCTTGACATGTATCTTAGTATCATGCCCAAGAGTGGATGAACATCCAAAAAATTAAAAACTCATTTGTAAATTGCAAAAAATTGTACTTATAGTGTTGTCATTACCGTTAGTCACATTGTCATTGGAGGACCCATCTGAGCTCAAAAGACTAGTTTTCCTTGACCAGTACTCTTGAAACCTCTGTTTCGCATATCCCTTATAGTCAAAGTCAATTTTATTTACATGCTCCTGCATAAGGTATTGAAAAGATAACTTAGATAACAAATGCCTGTTAAAATGTTTCCATGTAAGTAGGAGTTCTATAATTCTTCTAGACTTGTGCCGTTTGGGATAAGATTAATGATGCTTTTTATAGTTATCTCCATGATCATTTCTATTTATGAAAATGAAGCATATAATAAATGATTTGCAAGTGTATACTTCTCACAAGCCCCATAATAAATGATATAAGATGATTAAACAAAGAATAACGTCCAGTGCTAATTTGAAAGAGAAAGTGAAGATACCGAGATTAATCCCCACAAGCCCCATAATAAATGATTTGCAAGTGTATACTTCTCAATTTCATCGAGTAGCTGCTCCACTTCACTGTCACTGGGTTTTTCACCTGTGTTCAAGTTCAATAATTTCAAGATGAAAACGTAATAATCGTAGATACATGATGAAATGCAAGGCTACATTGATTTGTTGTGTTTGCTTAATATGTAATAGAATGTTGATATTTATAAATCGAAAGGAAACACCAATTCCTCATTAGAATAATTTATGGTAATGTAGTTTGTGTTAAATTAAACCAAGATCACCAATCTTTTTAACATATTTGAAATGTCACCTGCAGAACTCAAATATGCATGCACAAATCTTTGACGCTCCTCCAAATCTGTCAAGGGAAATAGATATGTTAATTTTTGCTGGACATAGAAAAAGGAAATAAATGAAAAGAAATTGCACAAGCCATTGACAAACCGGGATATTTACTGAAGTCAAGAATATGTGGGGTGTCTGAATGATAGTTTGATGCCATCTCATTGAAATGATTTGCTATGTCATATGCCACAGGATTATAACTTGCATATTCATAATCCTGTTACAAATGTACAGCATAAAAATCGTAATTGTTGACTAAGAACTATTAATTCCTTATGACTTTGACCTAATTTAAATAAATTTCTCAATAAATATTTATAAGAGAGTGTTTTTGCAAAAGATTATTCAGTAAAGAAAGATCAACCGTAGAGTCATAGACTGAGTACACCAATTTTATTCAACAACCAAGAAACAAAATTTTCAGCCCCAACATAGATTAAAAAATAACAACGAAGAAAGAAAAGTGATTGCAAATGGTTCTTCATCCATGTAGACACCATTCAAAATCCCTTATAGATTATATTAATAGAAGTCATAAAATTGATTTCCTTATCTTTCAAAATTAAAAATTCCATCTGAAATGTTTATCTGACTTTAAAGTGTAGGACATACTCTCAGTCAATTAGAAGAACTCAAAACTAACATGACATCTAGACACAATATTATCCCTTTCAGTATTATAAATAAGCTTCGTTGATATGTATGCATATATGAAGAGAGAGGGTATGCAAGAATTCTTAGTGTCCAAAGGGATTTTTATGTAAAAACATTTTGTACTGGATAAGGCACTATTTGGTCTTATCTTTAGGAAAAGGTAACTGAGTACCCCTTCGATCTAATATAGCCGAATATCCTTTGTCAGATTAAAAGGTAATTAATCTAATTAATGGTAATAATCAAAATATTATCTACTTTAATTAAAGAGTCAAAACCAAGGCTGACTCAACAAGCCCATTAGCGCATAACAATACCTATAAAAAGAAGGTAGGAAGTACAGGTAAAGTATGGACTTTTCAATATAAAATAGCATTTATTGCTCAGAATCAAATCTTGACTTCAGCATTATAGTGCCTTTTGCAGGTACCCTCCCCACGTCAAGTAACGTCAGTAAGATACGGAAAGGCGTCACCCTATCCAAGCAAAGACTTGAAAACTAGTGTTTCCCGAACAGGAATATTTTGGCGCCCATTATGGGGCACGAATAGCCTCGCTTTTTCAATCATCATGATACTAACAAGAAGCCAACATGAGGGGCATAATTATCAAGGACAAACTTCTCGTCAACAGGAAGAGGTCACACCCAATCAACCGATCCCTGAAGTTTTGGCCGAAAGAAGAGGAGATGCAAGCCTCTCTTCTGTAATAAGACAGCTCTAGGCCGAGATGAGAGAAATGCAACAGGCCAGAGAGAGATGCTCTTGAGATGTCGGCCTTAAGGAGGGAAAACGCTAACTTGAGGGAGGAAATTAAAACCCATATACCCGTTCGCTCAAGAGAAGGGAGAGTCCTCGGCATTGCAAGAAAAGCCTAAGGGAACTCCAAGGAACCCTACTGAACGGGATGATATCTCGAGTCGAAGCCCTTTTATTCAGCCTATCCTGGAGGCCAAGTTACTCGATAATTAGAGAACTTTAACATTAGAAAAGTATGATGGAATGACTAATCCAGGAGAACACTTGGATATTTTCATAACCCAAGTCGGTTTGTATACAGAAAACGAGGCCTTATGGTGCAGAATTTTCTCCACTTTCCTTCGAAGACCAGCCCTCAGTTGGTTCACTAGGCTACCCCCTTCGTCCATTGATTCATTTGCAACCTCACCAGACGATTCAATTTACAGTTTGCCACTAGTCATCCTCATCAACTGACCTCGTTGGCTTTGGTTAATATTTGCCAGGAGAAGAAGGAAACACTCAGGTCATTTATGGAACGTTTCGGGCAAATGGCCCTCTCTATCCGGAACTTGGATCCGACAGTTGAGATGCACCATCTTACAATAGCCCTTAGGCCAGGACCGTTTGTCAACAGTATCTGCAAAAAAAATCCTATCGACCTAGATGAACTACGTTGTCGAGCAACCAAGTAGAGGCAAATGGAAGAACTGGCCAAGTTCCATAACCAGGCCCAGATGGAGCAAGTGCCTAGTTCAAGAGAATTTGAAGGGAACGAACATGCAAGAAACAAACATGAAAACAAGGACCAAAAGATCAGCACTGAATGTCTCCTGAGGAGACCTAAGTTTATAAGTTACACAATGTTAAACACCAGCCGGTCCAAGGTACTCAAGCAGGCTTTAGCAACAGAGATATTGACAATATCGAAGTGCACGAACACTCTCAATCGGGTTAGAAATTGTACTTAGTAAATTTAGTGCACTCTTTCTTCACTCAGGTTTTGTCCTCTTTTTAGAACGTGAAAAGAGGTTTTCTAGATAAGGTCTTTAATGAGACACTTCATCAATAAAATGACAGAACTTTCTTTACAAGTCAATTCCCGAGTACCTCACTTGGCTAAGATTGAATCAAAATTTCCTCCTGAGTACTTCACTTGGCTAAGGTTGAATTAAATATTTCCTCCCAAGTACCACACTCGGCTAAGGTTGAATTAAATATTCCTTCCCGGGTACCTCACTCGGCTAAGGTTGAATCAAAATTCCCTCCCAAGTACCTCACTTGGCTAAGGTTGAATCAAAATTCCCTCACAAGTACCACACTCGACTAAGGTTGAATTAAATATTTCCTCCCAAGTACCACACTCGGCTAAGGTTGAATTAAATATTCTCACTCGGCTTAGGTTGAATTAAATATTCCCTCCCGAGTACCTCACTCGGCTAAGGTTGAATTAAATATTCTCTCCCAAGTACCAAACTTGGCCAAGGTTGAATTAAATATTTCCTCTAGAATACATCACTCAGCTAAGGTTGAATCAATATTCCCTCTCGGGTCCTCACTCGGCTAAGGTTCAATTAATATCTCTCAGATATCTTGCTCAAATAAGATTTAATTACTTTTTCCAGATAACCTATCTCGGTTAGTATCTATATTCCCAAGTACCTCGCTTGGTTAAAAGTTTGATTATTTTCTCCTATCAATCCCTCTCGGTTAAGGTAAAATTTACATTTACGAGTACCTATTCTGTTTGAATGTTTGCTGACACATACCTCACTCAGCTATTGTCTAATAACAAATGATTGTTGTCGTGTAACGTATTCGGTTCGAGTCGTTAAAAAAAATAAAATTACAAATATCATGGATACTAGTCATCTTTAACTTGTTCACTTTTAAACGTTATTTTAAAAGTTACCATTAATACACATGTAAACTTGTCTATTTCATCCTCGATGCAAGGTGCCTAACCCCCCTTCGGCCTCATCGTTGGATGCATGGCACCTAACACCCCCTTCGACCTCATCCTCGAATGCAAGGTGCCAACATCCCTTCGGCCTCATCCTTGGATGCATGGTGCCTAACACCCCATTTCGGCCTGCTTACTTCTTCATTACAACCGAATACCTCCTCCATCAAAGTGCCATGGGTAAATATATTATTAAGCCATCACTTCGTACCTCTTCAGGCTTGGGGGGCTAGTGTACTGGATAGGGCACTATTCGGTCTTACCTCTAGGAAAAGGTAATCGAGTACCCCTTCGATCTAATATAGCCAAATACCCTTTATCAGATTAAAAGGTAATTAATCCAATTAATGGTAATAATCAGAATATTATCTACTTTAATTAAAGGGTCAAAATCAAGGCTGACTCAACAAGCCCATTAGCTCATAACAATGCCTATAAAAGAAAGGTAGGAAGTACAGGTAAAGTGTGGACTTTTCAATATAAAATAATATTTATTGCTCACAATCGAATCTTGACTTCAGCATTAGAGTGCCTTTTGCAGGTACCCTCCCCACATCAAATAACATCAGCAAGATACGGAAGGATGTCACCCTATTCAAGAAGAGACTTAAAGACTAGTGTTTTCCGAACAAGAACATTTTAGTGTACTGGATAGGATACTATTCGGTATTACCTCTAGGAAAAGGTAACCGAGTACCTCTTCGGCCTAATATAACCGAATACCCTTTGTCAAATTAAAAGGTAATTAATCCAATTAAGGGTAATAATTAGAATATTATCTACTTTAATTAAAGGGTCAAAACCAAGGCTGACTCAACAAGCCTATTAACCCATAACAATGCCTATAAAAGGAAGGTAGGAAGTATAGGTAAAGTGTGGACTTTTCAATATAAAATAGCATTTATTGCTCACAACCGAATCCTAACTTCAGCATCAGAGTGCCTTTTGTAGGTATCCTCCCTACGTCAAGTAACGTCAGCAAGATATGGAAGGACGTCATCCTATTCAAACAGAGACTTGAAGACTAGTGTTTCTCGAACAGGAACACGTTTCAGTTGGAGAGTGTGAGGTATTATTGGAGTTTGAATCAAGAGAAGTAATGGAAAAACACCAAAAAGAAGGCTTGTCTGGGATGTGACATGCTTGTGTGGTTAAGAATATGGAGGTTGCCCTTGAAAGCTTGGGAGGAGCAATGTGTTAGCTACTTTAATAAAGTTTAATCAGTAGTTAAGTTTTTTAAAAATTGTGTTAGAGAATGTATTGCTAATATATTTTAAGTCACTCATTGATTTCTAATCCTAAATGTGTGAAGTGTTAAAATATCCAACGTTACCTAAGAAGAGAACCAGATACCATTTTTGGTGGATATCATAATGGTTCACTTGGTTAGCAAGAAATGAGTTAGATTTTAATCAAGAGGTATTGCAAATGCACTAATTTTCTGTGATGTTTTTAAAATGCAGAATGTTTACATAGAAAGTGACTCTTCAGCTGTTGTAGGTTGAAACGTATGGATGTGTACCATCTTGTTAGAGAGAAAAGTGTATCTGCTGATACATTAGCAAAAAGAGGGTCTGACAAAAAAAAGGTGTTATTTGGGCTTTTTTAAGACTTCACTGTGTATCTTTGCTTCTCGGATAAAAAAAAAAATCACTTTCATATCAAACCTTTGTAAATCCATTATGATATAAATACTAAAACTAACAATTTATTTAATGTAGGTCGTGAACGAAAATAAAATTAGTAGTTCACCAAAAAAATATCAGCAATAAAATTATAATTTCACTAACATAAAAAGAAACTCACAATTATGGTCACAGAATTGGACTCTTCCTCAAGCATTATGTTACCATACTGTAAATCATTGTGGCAAAACCCTATAACTTGGTGAATGCCTGATAGTTCTTTCTCGAGGATAGAGATTTCCTTGTCCATTGTGTCCAAATGAAATTCTTCATTTTCTTCAGGAGGAGACAAGCGCTTGGCCTCGCTAAGCCAATTTCTGAAAAATTAAAACAAAATTACATTAAAATGATCAAATTGAACTTATAACTCCATCAAAATATTGCACATAGAGAAATTTTTATTTTTCACATTTTTTTCGGGTGGGGATGGGATGAGTTATTACTAGACAACCCATACCTTAATCTATCCCAAAGGTTCACTTTCTTTGGACCAGGCATGTCAAGATCATGAAATTCCTTCATTTTTGCTGCTATAAGAGCAGAAATGGATGGATCTCGCAGATCAGGTGCTGTTAATGTCTGAAAAATCCACAACAATGTGTCAGCTTTATAGATGGGATAATACAAAATGAATAAAACCAATTAATACTTTACATATATAAAAGCTATATCAAAAGTGGAGGTATTTTTAAGCAAATATCAGTTGCATTTTTTAGTCATTCATTCATTTTTTGCTCATCAACCTATCTATAGATTTATTCATTTTTTTATTCATCAACCTATATCTTTTAGTAAGTACTTGTAAAAGCAAAAATTAAGTAATGAAATTATTTCATAAGTTAAAATTAACTTATGATTTTCTAATTTTCTTAAAGTTTTCTCATCTAGTGTTTTAGAATTTGAATAGTATAAGTTACTTTTAATTTATAAAAAAATTATTCATTTTTTATATTAATTTTTATTTTTTATAAATATTTATTTAAAAGTTTACTCAAACTATATTATACCCATGTTATTAAACAGTATAATATGATCATGTTGAAGAAAGATTGAGACAAATTTGATTTAATTAGAGGTTCTTATAATTAACAATGATGAATGACGATGTGTCATTGATAAAAATTGTATTTTTATCCAACAAAAACATGCCATGCTAGTTAGAAATACGAAAGAATGAAAATTTGTTACAAAGCTGAGTGAGAAGGAATTAAGATGAATAATAAAAAGTAAAGATGAGATTACCCGTGCATTAATGAATTCCTCAATGCGGCCATTTGCAATCCTTCCTAGCAAAAGAGGTCCCTTTCCATTCTTTGAGATGCATTCAAATGTTCTGACCTCAACATCCCTATCAAAGAAAATGTGAGTGCCCTCACCAAATATCCTTGCTACAACCTTTCGTGAGCTTTCATCTGTTGTTGTTTCCCATTTTATCTGAAATACTTCATTTGTCATTGCCCCTTTAAGAGGAAACACCTGCAATGCAGTAGCATCAATTACATTCTCCCATTTATTTGCCAAAGATATCAACATTTCCTTTGCTTCCCTTGGAAGACAATCTGCACTGTCTTTTACTGAGGCTTTTTCAGGACCTTCTTTGTCACTTACTGCAACATTTTCCATTTCACCACTTTTAATGTTAAATAGATTTTCTGCATCACCAACTTTGCCATTTACAGGGTTTTGTGTGGTCTCTTTAGCTTCATCTTTTGGAGAACTCTCTAATACTTCAGGTAGAGGAGTCTCCAACACTTGATTGTCTCTTACCCAGGTTTCTTTAGGACCTCCTTTGTCATTTGCCTCAGGATTTTCTGCATCACTAGCATTAATATTAACTGAATTTTTCTCTTCACCAACTTTGTCATTTATATATTTCTGTGTGGTCTCTTCAACTGCACCCATTGTAAAACTCTCCAATACTCCAGGTAGAGGCAAGGATTTGCTATACTATCAAGTTCCCTTTTATTTGAAACCTACGAACATGAAAATGCAAGATAATACCCAAACAAAATATGATTAGTATATATACATGCATGCCACGCGAAAAAAAATAATTGTGAAGCATTAAAATAATATTTGTTAGTATAATTTTTTTAAAAATTAAATTGTTTATAAAGACTTTAAAGCTTTGTACTAATAACTAATGCAGTAACTACCTTTTTAAATTGACAGTATATATTCAGTTTAATTACACTTTCGGTTCATATATATTTTACTTATATGTGATTTTCATTAATCTAAATTTAATTATTTATAGTTTAGTCTGTCTAATTTCTTAATTATTTAAATTAATTTTTTACCCTCAATTTAATCGAATAATTAACAAAATATAATGTAGATGTGATATATTATTAATTTATATAAATTAATAAAAAATTGTATAAAGATTTTAAGTAACAATATTAAATGAAAGGAATACATATAATAATTTTTATTTAATTATTTTATATAATTTTTGTTTATAAATTTTTATACATTAATAATATATTAATTTTTTATTATATTTTTTAATTATTAAATAAATTTTTGAAATAAAAATTTATTTTAAGTTATTGAAATATTTAAAAGATTAAATTTGAACAATTAAAATTTGATGAACTAACGGACTAAAAGTATAATTAAATTTATATACTAATATTTTGTATTACTAAGATTATTTATTAGTATTATACATAATATTGTTAGTAACAGTATCATATGCTACTGGAGGCTAATTTAATATTAAAAAAACATATATTATTGGAGGATAATTTAATATTAAATTGTAAATGAATAGTAACTTTTTATACTATCCGTAACCGTTGAAAACATAAAATGATATATTATGAAAATAGAAATGTTTATTGTGAATATAAAATGTCTATTTTCACATATTATTTAAGATTGTTTTATTTAAATATTATTAATACTAATTTAATTCATAAATAAATAATTTGTATATCTAAATTATTGAAAAGGACGTGAAAGTTCACCATTAAATTCAGTGAACAATATGTTCAGACACAAGGGAGAAGTGGGTTATTGAGAAGTAAGACAAGGTACTTGACAATTAATAGTTGCCTATAAGTGAACAATTATTAGGAAGAATCCAACACAAGACCTTTTACATAGACGCGGACTGATCCTACAATTCAGCCATAAGCGTACATTGAATTTTGAACCAAACATATAATTTTTTGTTTTATTGGCAAACTATGTTAAAGGAGACAGTATATTGTATAATGACCCATAAACCAAAACCATATAAAAGATAATAATTGTTTGGAGGGATATATTAATTAAAGTAGGAATTAACCTTTTTCTTTTGTCCTACATCTTGGCATCCTAACAATTTCCTAGTAAAAATAATCACTTTTCTCAAATATGGTTGCATTGATTAAGATGACAAAAGTTAAATTAACATGCAATTCCTATAAATATTAGGGATGATTTAAATATGTTTTTATCCCTTAAAATATGACATTTTATTTTAATTTCTACTTCAATTTATGTCTCTCATTAATGATTAAAAATACATTATTTTATTTAAATGACTAAAAATTTAACTAGAAAATAATTTAAAAAATAAGTCACATTTTCAAAACCCAAAATTTGAGTCTTTTACAAATTCTTTAATTGATTTTTACATTTTATAAGTTTGTAATTGGTATCTTGTAATTTTTTAGAAAAATCTAATTACATATCTATTAAACAGTCTAACACTAAGTTAAATTTTGAGTCAAATTAAATACTTATGAATCCAGAAACTATAAGAAGACAGACGCAAAGTTCCAAAATACCTAATATTTTGAAAATAATCTAATCGAATTCTTAAGAGCAGAGATATAATAGTGTAATACAGATAGAAGTTTAATTAAACATTTTGAAACTACAAGATTATTTATAAACTTGTAAAAAAAGGTACTCTTATTAACATCCCAAAAATATAAGGATATAGGAAATAGTTTTAACCAAAGACATGAATAACTATAATTTCACAAATTTGATGTTTCAAGCCAATTTTCGGCATCATTTCAACTATTTTCTTCCCGGCAAAAGGAAAAAAGAAAAAACCATCATTTGCATCTCAAAAGACCATAAAAGGAGTTAATTTCTTGCAACAACAAATCCAAATACACCAACCTTAATAGGAACTGTTTGTATGGCGGCGGGGACAAGGTTGTCGGTGACCTTGCCGCCAAGGAAATAGAGAAAAGATTGACGAAGTTTTCGAGGTTTTGAAAGGATATGGAGGAAACGTGTTTATATAAGAGTGCTCCCACCAATAACAAGATACTAAAAGGGAGGTGGAGATGAAAGGAGGGAACAATTTACAAGCATGCTTTTGAATATCCAAATCAAGGGAGATGTAGTTAAAAATTGAGGGTGCTAAATGATTTTATGATGCATGTTTTTTGCACAATTAATTCAAGCAATGCTATAAATAGATTTAACTTTAACGATTTTGTGGGCAATATTTTCACTATAAGAAATTTTATATTCTGTGACTATAATATTTAACATTAAATATTTTAAAAATTGTCGTTAAAATAATTCTATAACTATATTTAAATTTATCATATATCGTCACTAATAGTTATTATTATATATTCACTAAAATAAAATATTTATTATAACAAAAATTAACGTCACTAATATATATAAGTATTAATGACTAATGTATTTATCATTATTAAAAATTAAATAAAATTTTTATAATTAAATTTTTTTAAAATTAATATTTAATTAATAATTACTTTAAATTAACAATTTATATTACTAATGATTTTAATTATTATTCTTTAAAATTAACGTTGTTATAATATCAAAGTGATTATATTATAATAATTGTATTTTTAAATAAAATAAATATAAATTAAAATCATAAATTCTAAATTATGAAGACATAAATTGAATCATAAATTTAAATATAATAAATATCTAATAAAAGTTTACATATGAAAATTATAAATGAAATTAAAATACATCATCAACATATTAAAATTCTAAAATAAAAAAAAAAGACTAATATTAAATTAAACAAATAAAATAGAATGAAAGATGTTCTCATGGATTCTGATACTGCACATAAGAAAAAAGAAAAGAAAATAATATTAATAAATGTAAATTAATCAATTAATAAATTTTTAAGAATGTAATCATATAATAATTAAGTAATAAAAACTAAAATAATTAATAAACTTATCGTTGGAGCATGTGAATTATTAAATAGCTTGTTAAATAATAATTCTCCTAATAAGATAGTCCAATGATGTTTCATCTCCATCTCAAGGTCTTGCTTCATTTGTTTTTGTTGAGATTCAAAAGTTAATTTTTAAGCATCAATCAATTCACGTTGAGATTACAATTCAACTTAGAATTGATAATTAGCCTTATCTTATTTTCTTGAAATATCAATCAATTTTTTCACCTCTAATTCTAAATCATTTGCTCTCTTTTTTACATTCTCAATTTGATTTTCAATAATTTGTTTGTTTATAAATTTTTTTGTTATTGCTGCACTTCCTAAACCAAGTGAGTGATTTGGTTTTCTTACTAATACAGGTGCAAAATGCTCAACCAATGACACTGGAGCTTGAGAAATGTCTTCTTGGTATACATCTCCTATATTCTTCAAATCTTCCTGTAGAAAGTTTAAAATAAATAAAATGAAAATATAAAAATTATATAATTTTGAAAAGAAAAATATTAATGAAAATTTTATTTCAACTACCACAACTTTTAAAAATATTTTCTCTTACCATAATTTGGGCACCATTTGGAATACACCATGTTCCATTAGATCTCATTCGTGTGGCCTTTCATATTTTCACAGCATCTGGCTATTCATTAGTTTTTTAATCTTCTTTCCATTAAAAATTAAAAAAAATAAGAATTTAAAAATAATAAAAGTTAATTGATAAATTACTAAAAAAAAAAAAAAAAAAAAAAATAAAAAGTAATACAACATCATCAATTATGATTCAACATTATCAACTTGAAAGATATCAATTATAATTTAATAATATCAAAACACAAACAATAATTTAACGTCATTATAGATTAAGCTACCAATTATAAATTTCAATAAAAGATATCAAAATTATCTATTATAGTTAAAATTACTCATATTTTTGTCATAAACATAGATAAATACCATTTCAAATTATTCATGTTATATATAATGCATAAAAAATTAACATAAAACACAAAAAAAATACCATTTCAAACGCCTGTTGCACAATTGATTTTGTACCAGTGATAGATTTAATCTCTTGCTTACTTCGACTAGCTTTATTTTTCAAACTTTTCTCCTACATGAAATGAAAATGATTTATTAGTATAAGTATAAAAAAAAAAACTAAAGTTAAAGATAGAGAAGGAAATGTACCTGAAATCTAGAATCACTCCATTTATTTTCTATTAGCCAATTCCAATCCTCACACATCATTTGGCCTTTTTTTTTTAAGATATGCTTGATACAAATTATGATGTCTAGTCTTATATTGAGATTGCATTTGTTACATAGCATATTCTTTAACTTCATCGGACAACCATAGGATTTTCTAAAGTTATGTAAATTCATTAGAAGAGACAAATCAAAATATTATAAAATATTTTGTTAGGTTAGAAAATATTGTATAAAACAAGTAAATAAGTGAAGTAATGTTAAGCTTCATATGTTTCCACATTGCATCTACATCATCTTCGGATATTTCTTTCCAACTATTAAATTGAAGCGGTGCTTGTTGTCGTATACAAATAAGTGCTTCAGATTTAAAAAAATTTGCATGTTTTCCACAAAGTTTGTAATATGATGGAGGAAATTGGATATCAAGCATTTTTTCCTTCACTATTCTCTTTGCCTTTTTTTGTTGGAGTTTTGCATTAATGGTATGTCCACGACTCTTTCTAATATTGCC